CTAATAGAAGCCACATCTCTTATATAAGCCAGATCTCTTATAGAAGCCACATCCCTTATAGGAGCCACATCCCTTATAGGAGCCACATCTCTAATAGAAGCCACATCTCTTATAGAAGCCACATCTCTTATAGAAGCCACATCTCTTATAGAAGCCACATCTCTTATAGCATCTCTTATAGAAGCCACATCTCTTATAGAAGCCACATCTCTTATAGAAGCCACATCTCTTATAGAAGCCACATCTCTTATAGAAGCCACATCTCTTATAGAAGCCACACCTCTTATAGAAGCCACACCTCTTATAGAAGCCACATCTCTTATAGAAGCCACATCTCTTATAGAAGCCACATCTCTTATAGAAGCCACATCTCTTATAGAAGCCACACCTCTTATAGAAGCCACATCTCTTATAGAAGCCACATCTCTAATAGAAGCCACATCTCTTATAGAAGCCACATCTCTTATAGAAGCCACATCTCTTATTGAAGCCACATCTCTTATAGAAGCCACATCTCTTATAGAAGCCACATTTCTTATTGAAGCCACATCTCTTATAGAAGCCACATCACTTATAGAAGCCACATCTCTTATAGAAGCCACATCTCTTATTGAAGCCACATCTCTTATAGAAGCCACATCTCTTATTGAAGCCACATCTCTTATAGAAGTCACATCTCTTTATAGAAGCCACATCCCTTATAGGAGCCACATCTCTAATAGAAGCCACATCTCTTATAGAAGCCACATCTCTTGTAGAAGCCACATCTCTTATAGAAGCCACATCACTTATAGAAGCCACATCTCTTATAGAAGCTGCATCTCTTATAGAAGCCACATGTCTTATAGAAGCGGCATCCATTCTTTTTGAACAATTGAGAACAATGTGTCGATGCTGTAATACCACCAGATTTTCTCGCCCAAATGTTTTTTCGTTTTTTTCTTATATTCTTTAATATTTCTGGAAATGAACCCTAATTTTGAAGACAAAAGACAAAATTTCAGTATGTCCCAATTTTTTGAAGAAAAGTGCAGACTAATAACGAGACTATTTTGTTAATTTCTGATGATAAATAGAGGGCACTGGTGGTGAAAAAGACAAGAGCTGAGGCTTCTAATACATAATAGTGAAATATGCAAATTTATTCATGATAAAAAAAAGAAAGTTTTATTTTAAAACTTGACATGACTAAAATGGTATTGGACAAATTCTAAATGTTTCATAAAATATAAAAAGTTTATATAAGAATTAATACAGATTATATACTTTATATTCTGTTGTATCAATGTAGAGGGAAATTTACAGATAGATGCAAACTGATTTATTTTCATAATTCCTACAGCATTGAAGTAAAATGCACCGTAGTCAGTCACCATATGTAGATATACTAATAATATGAATTTGCAATTTGCGTAAAATCTTATCAGATATGCTAGCAAATATACCGGTAAGTTTACATTATTTAAAACTACATTCTCACTTTGCATAATCTGCAGAAAGCCTCTCACTGAGCCCTGTAAGCAATATAATGGTAGTTTTGTACAGTTCATGAAAAATGCTATCTATCAGAATAAATTGGTAGTCAAAGTCACCGGGATTATATTACATGTATTGTCAACTTTATACTACCTGTACCTTTACACTGTGAAATTATTATAAGAATCCATTGGGAATGTTATAAATCAACTTTCTATTACATAGAATCTGATACATATTACTTACATTGGTTATTATAAACTACCCCGTGTAACTAATTTTAGATAAACCGAAAAAGGCATTTATAAGGAGTGCCTTCATTGTTTAGTAGCATTGTAATACTTATTAATATATGGAACCACACATATTAATTTGGTAGAAAAATTGAAATTCTCCAGCTCGTTGCTGAACAATTTCAGCCAACAATATTGAACAAAATTTTGGCATAAAAATAAGTTTGCTAAAAGTTATTCAAAACTGTTATTTCTTTCTGCCAATATATATGTGCCAATAGTATCCTCAGGCGGACATCCGGGCATTATTTTCACCACCTGGCAACCATTACAGTGAAAACAAAGACCAAAAACTCCCAGAAACTGTACTTTGGTATAGTTGTTGAGACTCTACTAAGTAGTGTAACAGAATTACCCCTACATGCGCAACATGTATACATTCGGTTGCGCAGGATTACTTCAAAGTTGAGCTTGTGTTGTTTCCTCGACTTTAAGTTTTTTCATTGGCTCTGCGACCGGCTTTCCACAACAGCTCGCCCATAGAAATACATGGTACAGTGGTCTGTGCCTTAGCAACCTGGAACATTCTGTAACATAGCTCGGCCCCCGAGATTACATTACTTGAAATACTTATAAGTTTGGTACTTTTCTGTGCGTACCATTTCTGAGCTTTGAAAAACCATTAATACAAAAATATATCATATTTGTAATTCAGATTTGACTGATAGCCTCTTACAAAGCACTGTGATGACATCGCGTACAGCAGCCACATCTTACAAACCGAGGCCAGGTCACTTTATCTTGCCACTTGTTTGGAATCAGCATTAACAGAAATCCTCCGACGATAAACACACTTCCAATGATTTGCAGTGTCCCAAATGCATTGTCACGCCAAATATAATCCACAACTGTGAAGAAAAAAATTTAGTTTATATTTTGATCAATTATTTACATAGGAAGATAAGGTCTAAATTTTACTGAAATAAAATTAAAATGTTTTCCCCAACCACAACTTTGCTCATTTTTATGTACTTTTTACTATTTTTTTTTTAATTTTTGACTAAACTGAATATTCAATGCCTACAGGTATTGATCAAAATTTTAAAACAAAGTTATGAAGGTTTATTTAGCTCTATGAATGTTGAAAAGAAATTTGAAACTTTTTTCCAATGGTAAAAATCTTGGTGGAGATGGTCAAAGGTCATAGAACATTTAATGGGATTGGAAAAAATAACCAAACTTTCACAGCTAAATGTTACACTACTATTAAGTCAACCACTAATACAATAGGTGATTTTCCGAACAATTGCGAGATCTCGCGAGATGCATAAAAGACGCGCGTCGAACGTCTGCTGCAAAAATCGAACGATTTGATTTGAACTAGAATTTCTTTATTTCGCAGCTTACATTGACCGGCCAATCTTCGACAGAGGAATATTGCTTCCGAATACCCTTACTTAATCGAAATTGCCTATCATCAAATGTGGACAGCACATTATTAAGCATGGAAATGTCCCCGAAATACTTTCGCGTTTGTCGAATCCCACGCGATGTTTGACTACGACGCTATGACCTTTGTTTGTCCTGTTTTTACGTTCGATTTCACGCATAACGTGTGATTCTCGCAGTGTACGGAAAATGGTCTATTAAACTGTATTCATTGTTCTTGTGCGGAAAAATGAACAATTTAGTCAAATTTTGTTGGTGGTTGGCTTAACCTTTTCACTACCAGTTGTTCCCTCTTTTAATCACAAATTTACAAAATAGTAGTGTTTATCGTAAAAACTGAAAACTCAAATTTTCAGATTATTATTTCCAGAAAGTCGGGCGGGGAAAGGGTGAATTTACCCATGAATGTTTGGTACTCTTTTCTCAATTTGTAGGAATCTGAAAAACCTGTTTCTCAACTTGTCTCTTTATTTTGTATGGCTGCCATATGGTAAATATCAGTAAAAACAAATCTCCTTTATTTTATTATCTCAAGTCAGCCAGCGAACTGTGGTATAAGCCTACTCCATAGTGCCATTGATGTTAATACATTCATATATATCTAAATAAAAACTACTCCTTTTTGTAACAAAATGCAGACTTTTCTGAATGAACGATACTTTAGTCCAGGAAGATACACTGTCTTCTCAATCAGTGTCGATGCGTTTGTGCATTTAGTGTGTCCAAACCAACAAGGTCTTCTATTTTTAAATTTTCCATTAAAAGTCAGTCTCTTAAAAAAGTTGAGAAGCACTGCTCTTCTTTGGTTCTCTAGAACATGCAATCTTCATTAAAAACACCCCCTTCTCCACAAGATTCAGAACAAACATGTGTATCCCTCAATCAGCCCAGTGCTCCCCCCTTACCGGCCTCAAGTACTGTGCCTTTATCATCAGAAAACCATGTCTTATATGGTATCAGTTGAGAAAATATTGATAGAATACAAAGAATACTTTTATATGAATAAATATGATGTCATGCATGCATGTCTGTCTGTTTGTTGATTATTTCCTCTTACCTGCATTGAGGGGTATTCCTATAACTGTACCAATTGCAATGAACAAAGGATATGTGAAAGCAATACCAAAATTAATCAGGAAATTGAAAACTGTGTATTAAAAAAATAAATGAAATAAGTCATATTTGAATTATTCAGTAAAAGCAATTATTTGTATACACATGCTTTTATTGGAGATTGGCTTTTAATAGAGAAAATACGAATAGTACCGGTAATTTGCGTAGGGTCATATTTACTTAAGGGGATATATGCCATATTTTTGAACATTTGGGTTGTTTATTTCAATTTATCTAATACATTGGGTAAATAATTTCACATTACAGCATATGACAGGTCAGAAGGCCTACAATTATGCTAAAAGTATGAAAATAGCTTTGCCTAAGCATGGCGGTAAAAACAGGCCTAAGTATGTTCAAAGAAATCAAATAAACAACGGTCGCCAAAATAAACTGATCATGAAAACTGTTATCTTCCAATCAATTTCCCATGGAGCATTGCAATATCCATTGGAAGATTCTTAGCCATGTTTGTTATGACTTAAAGCCTTTCAATCACAACATCCGGCACTCAACAAACATTTTCATGAAGGATGCTGCCTAGTAAAAATTAATTTCATCAACGTAATCTGTTGGAATATAAATTCAAATATGGCTGAATATCATGAAACGTTTGTTTAGTCTCATTCATATTCAAATTACAAATATGGTCTAGCACTTTTATCCAATATTTCTGAATTATGTTGCAGATGGTGTTCCATGCTGGGTTAATTTCGTGAATGGTGTTAATTTCTCTGTGGTTGACCACAATCCATCCAGTGATTGGTTGGAACAGTTTTCAATCATATTTCAAGTAAAGAAATGGTGTGAAATATTATAAATGGTGATTATTTGTTTCTTATAAGAATTCCACACTTGAAGAAGACAAGAACCAGTGGAAAGCCAGATCCTCCAGAGAAAATGGTCCTAGATAGGACACACTCTCAGAAAGCCACCAACGAGCATCACACAGCAGGCCCTAATCTGAAACCCATGGGGCAAGCGAAAGAGAGGAAGGCCTAAGAACAGCTGGAGAAGGGACACTGAGGAAAAGATGAGGAGCATCAGTAACAGCTGGCACGACCTGAGAAGGAAGACCCAGAGACGAGTACAGTGGAGGATGATCATCGGATTATGCTCCAACTGGGGCAAAGGGCCCAAGTAAGTAAGTACTTATTACTAAGTAAATTAAAAAAACAAACTCAAATAGTGGGTGGTTACTGGGGAACTTTTGATATGGAAATTTCCAACAGTTGAATGCAAATTCATAACAAACCCCACCAACAATATTTCAAACATCAAACAATGTTCCAAGGAAAACTATCACAAGATTACAGTTTTTCTGATCAGTTTATTTTGGTGACTGCTGTTACCTTACAGCTGTCTAGATGCTGTTTAAATAAAACATAAAACAGTTTAAACTGTACCACAGCTCCTTTTCTTCCACACACTTCATTCAACAAATGGAATATTCAATTTTTTCATAAGGAAGGGCTGGTCATACTCACCCACTGACAGGGCAGCTGACCCACATAGAAATTTCCATGGCATCTCATTCCAATCCCAGCTTTCTATCCCTGTTAGATATAATGTCAACATAACAGGCCACAGAAAGAGCAAATTGAAAGCTCCTGTACAAGTTAAAAACAGTGAGACCTGCCCGCTTGTTGCATCACCGATGAATCTTTTAAAAAGTACCTGTAAAAAGGCACAAATAAATATAAATCAATCGAAAAACATGTATAAGATCATACAATAACAAATACATTTATATTTATATTTATAATTTAAAAACAAATTTAAAAAACAAGTACATGTATGTACCTTGTACAAAGCAGCTCCAATGGCCGCTCCAACTGACAATGCCACCCCCACTGCTGTGGATCTCAGAAAACCATCACCAGCAGCCATTAACACCACACCTGCTATAGAAAATATTGTTGCTAAAACCTAGTAGAAAATAAGAGGGAAAACCAAATATGATAACAGAAAACTAATAATTGTGTAAAATTAATGTTTTTCCCGATTTTGTTTATTTCAACAAGCTTAGAGATTTTTGACTGTTATATTTTTTAGGTTTCATCAAAATTTAACCATAAAACCAGTATTTGTAAGCAGAGTACTGTAAAATACTTTATTTTCGCTTTGAATTAATTTTCACTATTTTCACTGAAGGAATGATTCAGTGAAAATGAAATCCAGCAAAACACCCACAAATTTTTGTCCTATATTTTACGTTCAAAATCAGTGAAAATAAATTCCATACAAAACACCAAAACATTCAAGTTTTTTCAGTGAAAATTAATTCCAGCTAAACTAAAGTATTTTAAAGTATATACTTGCACTGAGATGTTGTTCACTGTTAAAAACTAATTTCAAATTCCAGGATGCTACAATTGTTCTCTTGGTCTTATCGTATATATTAATAGCATATCCTTCCTTTCATTGCTGTCCTTGTTTCTTTGGCTCAATCCCAAGAAAGACACAGCTAATGGAAAGCAGCTCAAATTTTCTTTTCTAAGTTGTCAGCTGATCATGTAATTGAGACTTGAACAAGAGCGTCCCCATAACAAGGCTCCACTCTAATTCTAGTGTGTCCAGAAATGTTTTTATTGACGATAGAATGTCATAACGACTTCTTGACAAGTGTGATGACCTATATGCATAATACATACAAGGTGTTGCATTACTGTGATGGTGTTGCCAATAATATAAATAATTTACTGATCCATGCAGTTGGTAAAACATGTTGAAAAAGCCACATGCAATTTTAGCGAATTGTGGTAAAATGACGTAATAGCGAAATGTTGATTTAGCGAATCTCTCTTGTCATTGTTGATTTCCTGTTTTCACAATACTTGTATGTCGCGTGCCAAAACAAATGCGCAGTTATCACCTCCATAAAACAAAGAAAAACTGTCAAGTGTAATTAGAAAGCACCCCAGATTTTTACGTTCCGGATTACTGTATACAAATCCCCAAGCCTTGGCCATTTTGAATTTTTAATAATGTCATTAGTGACATCTTGAATTAGCAAATCATTTCTCTTGCTAAATTCGCTAAAAAGACATGCTTGCGAAAAAGACATGTTTTACAGTATACCGTTCATATCAGCTGTCAACCGAGGTTACAGTAAGCAATGTGTTAAATACGGTACAGTTTTAGAGAAGCAGTCAAACATGGAACGATTCGACTGTTTACTTACCTTGACCGGAGTAATAAGCTCATTCAGCCACAGTATGGACAGTATATAGATAAATGCAGTATTGGACGAAAACAGAGCAGTTACGTCAGCAGCTGCTATGAATCCCAAAGCGTACGTGTACATGTAATTAGTGACGGCCCAGCATATACCGAATGGGGCGATCAGTCGAAAGTAATTCCACAATGTTAGACCCGCTTCACCAAAGACAGCCTCGTCTTCACTAAAAGATAGAATAGACATAATAGCATTTTAACTCATATAACTGAAGGGTAGTCAAAGCCAACAGACTTTCTTGAAAAATTGTAAAAATATTTCTTGTGATTGACTGTTTTAAATTCCAAAGAAAAAACCTGGGGTACCTGAACAATTTTGTGAATTGTGAGCCAAAATTGTAGGCATTTCTTGTTTTCCAATCTGAAATGACCACAAAATTAGGGTTTATCGCTACAGGGAAATTGCAAAGTTGTTGTTTCCATAGAAACAAGTTTGGATATACTCTTTTTGATTTTTACTTTAATTTGTCTTTTTTTTATCCATCCATCTATTACTAGGTAATTAACACTCCCAGAAAAATACTTTCACATATGAATTGAATTTTTTAAATTGAAATTTTATAAAATTAGTTTGTTTGATGTATATTGATAAATATATATTGTATCACAAAATGTAACATAAAAAATGTAATTTGTGCAGAAAAAAACATTATCCATTGAATAAAATCACAAATACATTTGGGCACATGTACATTGAAATTGACATAGCAAATTAAAAATATGGTAGTCCGAGCTTTTGGACAAATGGAATAATTTTAAATTATGGACAAGCAGTCCATTAGAGTGAGTAAGTTATTTAGGTTGCCATGAAAATATGTGATTCAAATATGCAATTGTAATGGAGAAGCAATTATGCGCAACTCAATGCACAGTGTGAATGCAAAATAATAATGGACTTTGTGAAAGTCGTACTGTCTGTTGCATGGGACCCATAGTGATGAATATTAAATTAGTACAAAGAAAAGCTAAAACGTTTTTCTAATCTATAGATACCACACCTGTAAATCAGTCTCGCATGCCATTTATTTCTCCCCAAAAAAAACGCTGGCGGGAAATATCCCAGATAGCAGACAAGCATCCACGTTGTTGAGAACCAAACGTTGAAGAAGGGACCGTCAAACTCATCTGTGTAAGTGCTTTGTGTAAACTGAGTTGCTCCAACCCATGAGACGGCAATACCGATCACAATAAATAGACCAATCAACCATTTGCAAGTCGTCTTGGATATGCATTTGTTATCAGATATGATGACTTGGATTTCTTCATCTTTTGCATCAGAGTTTGTCACCAGTCGGGCATCACTGCTATAATCAACCTCTATGGGAGGAACCAAATGCGATTAAAAGTCCACTATGCCTTCCCTGGGATCAGACCAGAGTAGGTTAGATTGCTAGGATTTAAAGTTATAAAAACATTGTTTGGTAATACACTAGATGGTAATAAATACTCTGATATAATCATTATTGTGATTCTCATAACTGCAATTTTATAAATCTTACAGTTGAAATATTTTTAAATACTAAATGGCCGATGTGTATAGAGGTTTAAGAATTAGTGGCATGGTGTTCAAACAATGATTCCATAATCCATTGCAAAAAGTTACAAATAAATACAAATGCAATTCAAAGATCTATTTTATCTGACCACGCCAAATAAAACAAATTCAGGCTTAAGTTTTTGTTTTATTTTACCCAATGAACTGTATGTTTTTGCGAGAATATTTTTTAACTACAGATCTGGAAAATACACGTAAAATGCATTGTATGTTTGCCTAAAATTAAAGCATGCTACATGACAAATGCAGTGCTTTAAAGCACGGGAGTCGTCACATGCCCATGCGTCAGGTGTCCATAGCATGTAATTGTTTACAAACAAGCATCCACCCATGAGCCTTTACATTTTCAACGTGTGTTGTTATCATCGCTTGGGACTCAATTCCCGCACGTGCGCAGGTGACAACCCTCTCGCTTTAAGGGTCCATTCGAACTGTTTTTATTTATTCATATTAGATGTTTGCAGGAATTAAGACCTTTACACAAATACAGGGCGGTGGTCGTTGTGACACGTCCTGTTCGATATGGGATTCATAGTGACGAATACAGGGGTGTAAAATACATTGTTTATTTACACGAAATTCAAACATGCGCTGCGCGACGAACACCGCGCTTTAAAAAAGTTTACTCATTGACTCGCTTAGTCTGTTTTTTGGTTGTCTTTAAACTATTAGCCATTGTAATTAGATTAACTTTTATCTGTAATTGACTCCCATGTGCGAAGCACAAAATGGGAGTCTTTGCAGTTAGTGTGTCTGTATGTGTGTGTGTGCGTGTGTGTGTGTGTGTGTGTGTGTGTGTGTGTGTGTGTGTATGTGTGTGTGTGTGTCCGACTGTTCCACTGCTATCTCAAGAACCATACATCCGTTTTTGATGAAACTTGGTGCATAGATGCTCTGGGCCAATGCGCAGATTTGATTAGGTTTTGGTAAAAATCCATGCTCGTTAATTACCTAATTTGCATGATAATTAGCTAATTTTTAGCTGTTCTATGACTGTTCCACTGATATCTAAAGAACCACTCATTGGATTTTGATGAAACTTGGTACATAGATGCACTGAACACATGCGCAGAT